AATGATACTGCGACCATACTGGGGCCACACCATTTTGATCTTCCTATCTATGATTATGGTATGTCTGCTAGTAAATGCAGGATAAAGAATCTACTGAAATTAATAGATTTGGAAATAAGCTGAATGTAGCAGAATCAAGACAGGTTAAGTTGACTGATAGACTTAAAGAGAGAGAGAGGGTGTGAATCCGCACCCGAGGGGGGTGACTCGACTGGCCAGCTCAATAATGGTTATAAACACATTCGCATTCACATTCATTTAGAGCTCATATTAAGCTCATCAACCTAAAACACACGTGCGAGATTATGCACTCCTAATCATGTTACAGTTTGAGCCATTAAAACCCGATCACTCTGGACTAATGAATGATGACTAAGCATTACCACCAATATTTCTTACTCTTGCTTACATGCCATACAGTCGCTACCACGCGTGCACACGCACAAACACACGCACAACTAGCTATCAATCAATCAACCAATCTTTATTTCTTTCCATCTTACTTTTTTCATCTATTCTCTCTAGTTTTCTGTTTTCTTTCCGTATGTCCTTCCTTCTTTCTTCCTTTTCCTCTATCTATCTACTTTTCTTTCTATATTTATTTAGTAAATTATTTCATCCATTCTTTCCTTCTTTTCAACAAACAATCAATACACCTAGCCGACTAACTGACTATCAATCTTTCTAGCCCTATTATATATCTAGCTATACATCTATTTATCATTTTACATTCTTTCTTTTTTTATTTAGTTATTCTCCCTTTCTTTTTTATCTCTTCAATCGTTTCTTTGACGCTTTCCTTATTTCCTGATTTAATTCATTCATTTATATTTCTTTCATTCCTGCCATCAATCTATCTATCAATCTTGCTATTTAGCAATCTATCCCTCTGATTACTTCCTTTATTTTTCCTATAAATAAAGCAATCTCAGTAACTAACTACATATCCCTTTAGCTATCCATCTTTCTATTCTTTCTTTTCTATCTTCTATTCATCTTTCTTTCTTCCTATCTAATTATCTATCTATCTATGCCTAATTTTATCTTTCTTTCTACATTCCTGTCCTCTTTTCTTCCCTATTTTATTTCCTTCTTTCTAGCTATTTATCTGCCTCTCTGCTCTCCTATACTTTCCTTATTTTATCTTACTTCCTCATTTTTTCTTTCTTTCAATCTATAAATTTAACTAACAAATTCTATATTTCTCTATCTATTTTTTCTATTTAAGTATCTATTTATTTATTCTTGTCTTTATGTAAATTTTTGACGTTTTCTTATGTGAGAATACATAGAGTTGGTTAATCTTTTAAAATAAGAGTTCCAGTCACCCTAGGTTGCATAAATTGATGAAGAATTGATGGTTGAATTTTATCCCAACTATCAGTCCTTCCTCACCTTATGTGATCTAAGGTGGCTGGAATTCTTATTCAAGAATTACGGATAGTTTCGAAACCCACTTTATATGAATATTAGTTTTCTTGTGTGCCATTTCTGATTATGCCCTCTATCATAAGGCATGCAAAAGTTCAGCCAATTATGATCCGTAACAAGGAAGATTGTCTCGTGGACTGTGTCCACCCAAAATGTAAAGTAAAATCCAATAAGTGAAGAGAAATGTCAATGGGTGTCGTCTTAGGCTGAGATCGACCACGAATATCTCCATCAGGCACTTTCATATGATATGAAAGTCAACCCTACAAAATGCATGCTTGACCAAATGAAAAAGAAAAATGCAGTACGCCTTGGAGGAGATACCCTTTTAAAGATCAAGATTAAATGAAATTTTTTGGCGTCGTGAAACCTTCAATACGGTTAATTGTAAATGATCTAGCCTTCAATTCTTACCCAACTTTAAATAACCCGAATGAACTCAAGTTCTGTCAATGAGCACAGATTTACAATTTTCCACTTCACATGAAGGTACAATTCGAACTTGAGCTTGAACTGGAATACAAGTAATGTTGTCGACTGTAATGCCAAATACATGTTTGCTCTAGCAAGAATCCAACTATAAAAAAGCGATATGGGAGATGTCTAGCTTGGTGTGAAATTCATTTCAGCCCTGTGACCGACTGGCATTCGTGGCGATGTGGCGCAACTGTGACATGAAAAAAAATCATACGTTGCATTACCAAGATCCGGGTTTGATGCGTGTTGAATTTGAATGAGAATGTATGTTTAGTGTTGGTTTGACCACATTTTCGCAACTTGGTCGGAGCATCAGGAAGAACTTTTGGAAGGTGGTGGGTCATACGTGATATTTTGATGATTTCACAGCATCAGCCACACCATCTTGGTCTTCCAATCTACGATAAAAAAATGTATATTTGCCTAGTCGGCAATTCTAGTATTAAATAATTGGACACATGGTCTAAGCTGCAGCTCATCCTGGATGAAATATCCTTTTTTTGACAGTGGAAAATCCCAAATCAGTTCTTATTTAACCTTAATTGGCTGTCTCAATCCATATATCAGGTGAAGATATGGTTCCAGAATCGTCGAATGAAGTGGCGCAACGTCCGACAGCGCGACACAGCCACAGAGCACAACAAAGACGAGCCTCTGCTCGGCCAGTTCGACTTGGACGCAGAATACATCAGCGTGGAGCGAGACTCGAACTCGGCCAGTCCAAGCAGTCTCGGTTCGAGGCCCATTGAAGTACCGGTCGCCGGGGCGACGACGTTGTGCCCCGGCGACTTGAGTCGCTTTTCGCCTCTCCTCCCCCCCGCAGGCGCGCCACCTCCGCACACCGGCCTCAACCTGCTGGAGCTGGAGGAGGCCTGTCTCGAGGCCATGCGGGACTCGGACCTGGGCCGGCTGGCGCTCTGGGCGACAGTGCTACAGACGAGCCAGGCCGCCGGCCAATCACTGCTCGCCTGGCCGCCCTCCAGCACGCCCACAGAGCCCTTTCTTCTCTTTCTGCTCTCCACCCTCGGCGGACCTCCGCCTTCGTGGAGAAGCGCTCCAACTGGAGGACCTCCAACAGCCTTTGAAACCTCCTTTCCAATTTACCCTCAGCTTCCACCACCGTCGCCGCCATTCTCCGGACCTCCGCCTGCCTGCCTCCCTCATCAGGGATCCGAAATGGATCCAGCCGACCCTGTTGGATCATGCCATGCGGGCCGATTCGTGGTCGCCGCCAACTCGCTGTCACCGCCAACTCCTACAACGGAATCGCCTAAAACGATAACGTTACAACTGCTACGATCGCAGGTACCGGTATCGGTGCCAGGGTCACCAGCCGACCCTTTCGATGCTTCAGCCAGCCTGCCGTCGTCGGTCAAGTCGAGGCAGACGGAGTCGTGGTTACCAGGCGGTGACGAGTTCTGGCGACAGACTGGTGCCTTCTGTAGACTTCGGCCAGAAGCGCCAGTCTCTCTCTCCCCCTCAGACCTTTTGGGCGATGTCCTCCGGCCACGGAGGTGGTTGCCTCCGACAACCGGCCTTCTTTCTAATAACACGCTCGACCTTCAGACCGCCACAAAGGCCGAAGTGGAGAAACAGGCTCTTCCGACGGTTCGAGATGGCCTACATCGGTTGTCAGAAGTCGATGGGCTGGAGAAGAGTCGTCAGGAGTCGGAAAGATCAGCATTTTTGCCAAGACAACCAAAAGAGATGCAGAAATCGGCTGGAATTGTTACATCCGGTGGCCATTTCTGGCTGGAAAGTCGGCCATCGACTGGGACTATCGACACAAACAATTCACTATACAATCCGGCAAAGCTGGAGCCAGGCCACGAAGAGGCTGTCGCTAGGCAGATGGGTCTGTCTCGGGTCCATTGAGGCGGTGGCGACAGTTCGAGAGCCCGGGATGGCAGAATACAGAGCGTGAAGATGACAGTCACTGTCATGACCTCGCTGGTCTCTCTCGGGTAGCATGTCAATTCAAAGCTCTATAGGCGGCTCGCGAATCCTTGAAGATTACCAGAACAGTCCCTATTCGGGCCAGGTCTATCGAGCACGAGAGTAAAAACGCTATGTCAAGTTAATATATGCCTACAAGTCAATGCGAAGGTCTATTTGTTTCCAGCGCAATGATACCCCGCGCACGGTCGGAACAGTTTTAGCTCTTGAAATGTAAGACTCTTAACGAATACATCCGAATTTCGGTACCACATGCACCAGTATGTCACTATCGAGGAAAATGAAACATATCAGAGTCGGACGCTCGCAGCGCCTACAAATTACATGTGAACTTGGCTGTTACTAAAACTCGAAAATTTGGCAGAAGCACTTGGCGCTGACAATATTTGTACTGAAAAGGATGAAAAACCTCTTCTAGAGACCTCATAGTAGAGGCTGTTAAGTAGCAGGAAAGGGTTTTGTGATAATGTAATTGAGCATCTGGCGCTCTCGTAGTCAAAGTCAACATTAAATAATGCTGAATTTAAGGGTCTTGGAGAGGATTATAGACAATTTGCTGAATAATTTAGGTGTCTAATCTACATTGCGTATAGTAGGTACTGCATCGTAGCTCCATATAAGTTCATTTCATTGCTTATTACTACTAACTAGAAAATAAGCAGTTCGTATTTGAAGCGCTTATTACTGGCTACTTATTTATTAATTAACAGCTTAAAGTTTATAATTTTAAGGCTATGCAGCAAGCTAAACTCTAGCCTTCATGCTACTAATTAATTAATGAAGAGCTTGCATTTAAAGCTAATAATGCTTCCAGGATGAAAGGCTGAAAGGCTGAAAGCCTTTGAGAAGCAAAGTGAAAAGCATCGGAAAAGTGGCTTAACAGCGGCAATATGTCTTTTGATGTTAGTGATAACTTGTGACTGAGGGCACTTTTAGTTTTCGATACTCTTCACTTTGTTTCCAAAAAACTTTAAACATTTCATCCACAGACGTAGTGTTGTATTTAAATACCGGATATACACTTATTAGTTAGTAGTATTAATAAATTACTTAACCTATAAATAATCAAAAAATATACACGGGGATATATATAGATATTTAGAAAGCTAGATAGAAAGATAGATAAAGGGAGTTAAATAAGAAAATTTACAGCTGAAAAGAAAGAAAAATATAAGAAGTTTAAATGAAAAGATAGACAGCTGGAAGGAAAGAAAAAATACAGAAAGAGAGAAAGATTGAAGCAGACATACAGATAAATAACGAGCTAGAAATATAAACTCACTGCCCATAGTTAATAAATAAACAGCCAATAATGTGTGTGTGAGTGAAAGGCAGAATGTATTTTATAACTAAAATGAAAAACAGGAAATCTGACCAAGTAACGGTTGATGGGAACCTTGTACTGAGGGCGTTTTTAGTTTCCAGTGATCTTTATTTTGGCTCAGAAAATTCAGTCTTTAAATACTGACTACTCATTAATAATTAGTAGTGTAAAAAATTATATTTTCAGTTAATTTCACAGCCTAAAAAATACAGGCCTAATGCCATCCGACTAATAAATGAATTGTCTATATTTAGAGCCAAGAGGCTAAAATCATCTGCGAACCAAAAATGGTTTAACAAAGGCAATTGTTGTTTTGACTCCGTCCTAGTACTGCGTGCTTTTTTAGCTTGCAATGTCTATCATTCCCGTAAGCATCTAAT